TCACTGGATAGCCAGAAGATCGGAGAAGGCTAAGGAAACGCTCTGTCAGCGTTGCATCGATTCGTGTATTTGGGCAACGACGTACACTGCGTCCTGTGATCATTCACCTCCTGCAAATCTCATTCACTCTGCCATTCATCTTTTCCAAAGTATCACCGCCATTTTAAAGCCCATCTTATGGGACCAACCAACTTTCCGGAATCTAATTTCTATGGGCACGTATCCGTACTTGAAATCAGATACAATTAAAGTTCTACGTAGGGCATTGATAAACGGAATTATATTACCACCTGGTGATGCAGTAACAAGGCAAAGGTTATTGGGTAAGTTGGGTAATTATTTCGTAAACCTTTGCAACTGTCTAATCATCTTTTTCTTTAACAAAAATAACAAATAAAAATTTGAAATGTTTTGCGCTTAGGTACTATGATATTAGCTTTGTCAGCACCTTTGGGTATGCAAGGACAACCAGTGCCTTCTGAATCGACAATTTCGATTACGATAATGCCACTGACTCAGCTACTAGAAGATTGTGCATCATCGTCAACGACTATAAAAAAGATGTTGCATTCATGTCTAGAATCAATTATAAACAGGACATTAGAATTATTGTCTTATGTGATAAGGTGCCAGAGTATATGTGAATTATTACTTAGCTTTCTACACTCGGCATTTTCAGTATTACAACAACAATTAGGTCCTGAATTTATGCAAAACGCGGTTCAAGGCATGCTGCAACTTTATACCAGGTTTGTATAAAGTATTATGATATGAAAGCAAAAGGAACTATTCTTAAAAAATAATATTAGATTATTGTCCAAGTAACAAAAATATGTTTGTTAGTTTTCTTATTTTACTAAATAATACTTTTTATGAATTTAATTTAATTTTATTTTATTCACTTATATTAAATTTTTCCCGAGATTAAGGTTAAAAAAAATTTTTATTAGCAATAATTAGAAAATCTGTATAATTTGTTATATAATCTTAAATAGAAAATATATTACCTTCTAAGGAATGAAATATCACGTTTTTAACAAAAAATATCAATTGTCTCATTCACAGGGAAAATATTTCTGCTGGTCCTGCATTGGACCAGTTACTGGAAATTTTAATACTCGTCGTATCAGCACCCAGCAATGCATTTAAAGCATTTGTTCCTTCGGTAACAAATCTATGTTTAGGTCAAGTATGGCCTGCTATTGGAAATAATCTAAGTGCTCATCCAGATACGACGTTAGTTTTATTGAAACTCTTTCACAGGTAATATATTGATAATACATATCCTATTTTTATTTAAAAATCACAAGCTTTGCATTACTTTTTAGTATTCTTATGCACCGGTGGCAGTATTTCTATAATACCTCGGTATTACGGACTCTTGGACATCCTGAAGAAGATGAACCTGTCGAGCACAAAGAAGAATTGGTAGCAATTTTGGAAGCTTTTGGTCAAGCTCTACTTCAATCTGACGTCAATATATTCCGACAGAGCTTGCAGAGCCTTGAACAATTAAATATTAGATGGCGGCTTTATCAACGGGCTATATTCAAGGTTCATCTTCTCGAAAGATTTTTGATGGCATTATTCACAGTTTTATTTCGACAGTGGGTATCAATATTATTTTTACTAATATTAACTTATATTAATAATATCTTCACTTATATATGTCTTGTTTAATTTACAGATCCCACAATTTGTTGGCGGACGAGATAGCTGCGGCTATTCACAGTCTAGCATCTGTTAACATAGGATGGTTCTTTGGCCATTTTTTGCCAACATTCTTGGCAACTTGTGAAGGCGTGGACGATATGCAGAGAGCCACCTTGTTGGAAAACTTCGATAAATCCACGGTATGTTAGCCTTAGTAGTTCGATAATATAAAGAACATAAACATAGCATGCAATAAAATCATATAAACAATTTATAATATTTTCTTTTTTAGGATCAACCAACTTTGACTAGATCAGTACTCCAGCTCATTTCAGATTTAAGATGTTACCAGCTGTGTAGACCAGGTTAAAGCGCGAATTGCGACTCGAAACGATATTCACAATGAAATTATTCCATAAGACTTCTACAGTGGCATTTAAATGAAATCAACATTTCCACCGAATCTCTCCTACGAGTGCCTCTAGATACCGATACAAGAGACATTTAACTGTAATGAAACGAAAAAAGACAAACAACAAACTTTTTGTAAAGATTTACCATTCTGTGTATACCACTGCCACACCATCTTTTTGTGATGTTATAAATGTTATTATTGCGAATAAAACGCGTCTTTTTATATGTCTATAATTGTCTATTTTTTATAGATAGAAAGATTTTCTATTTATATTTATTATTCCAAATTTTAATATTTGTTTCTAATAAAACAGATAAAAGCTAGAAAATGGTACGTGCTTTATCACAAAGATTCAAGTCAGTTGCTAATAGTACAACTTATCTGTATCTTTACTGTTCAGATATTTTTGTGTTCTTATCACCTTTCTCGCCTCCCTCTCTTTCTCTTGATAAACAGAGACATTGATAACCTAAGCAATTTGTTGACTTCACGCTCGGTTAGTCAATAACAAGTGTCTGACAATGTCACGTTTATTGCTTAAAACAAGTGGTTGCTATATTTTCCAATTTCAGATGACGAGACATTTAGTAACCGATCCGAAGTATGGATTTTTAAAACAATTAGGTATCAATGTTGAAAATCCCGGTCTCTATGACGGAAGGTGGGGTGGATCTGGCAAGGTATGTCCGACATTTCAACAACTGTCCGGAACCGATTTGATTCTCCATGAAATAGAAATCAGAGAGAATCTTAAATAAATTACATTATAACATGAAGAAACATTAAATGATATATCATAAAATAAATAGGTATACAAATAATTAAACGGATATCAAATACAGTTAATAGAATCAATATCGCCGGCGACCGGCAAAGTGATAGCAAAGGTTCGCGAGTCTACGCCGCAAGAAGCTAGCAATGCTATAACGGAAGCACGTAAAGCGTGGCCACAATGGGCATCCATACCGATGCCAACAAGGGGAGATATTGTACGGCAAATTGGGGACGAGCTCAGAAGACATTTGGAGCCGTTGGGACGCTTGGTATCCTTAGAAATGGGTAATTTATCGTTTCAGTAAACGTTAAAATTTTACTCGCTGTAACAACCTGTAATTATAAATCGAAATATCTGTACCGTATAGATCCATTTAATTAATTAATGCAAAGTATACGTTATCATAGGCAAAATATTGCCAGAAGGCATAGGCGAGGTCCAGGAATTCATCGATATATGCGATTATGCGGTCGGCTTGTCACGAACATTACCCGGCAGCATATTCCCATCGGAGAGAAAGAACCACGCGCTATTGGAGAAGTGGAATCCTTTGGGCGTAATCGGCGTTATCTCCGCATTCAATTTTCCTATAGCAGTGAATATGATTCTCAGAGAATCTTGTGATCACTCCACTTAAGGGCTTGCAATTTATTAATTCATTGTTTTTTAAGGTGTACGGCTGGAACAGCGCTATCGCTATGATCTGCGGTAACACTATCGTCTGGAAAGAGGCGTCGAGCACACCTTTGATAGCCATCGCGACCACCAAAATAATCGCGAGCGTCTTGGAACGCAATGGTATCCCAGGTTCCGTCGCATCCTTGATCACAGGTGGATCAGATGTCGGAGAGACACTGGTGAACGACAAACGGTCAGTTCCGATTTAGATTTGCTATATTATTATGTACATCATATTGAACAGGTTAATAACGATTATCGTTAGAGTACCTCTCATTTCGTTCACCGGAAGCACGAACGTAGGAAGACAAGTCGCTCTCAAGATTCAAGAAAGATTCGGAAGATCTCTGCTGGAGCTTGGTGGTAACAATGCATTAATTGGTACGTGTCTCCTTAAAATATCAATTTCATAACATCGCCTATACCATGGATAACGTATTTGTAATTATTTCTCCTTTGTTGACAGTTACACAGGATGCTGATTTAGAAATGGCAGTGAGAGCAGCGGTCTTTTCTTGCGTTGGAACAGCTGGACAAAGATGTACCACCACCAGAAGATTAATATTGCATAAGAAGATAAAGGATGAATTTCTAGGTAGGTATAAATATAAATGAGAAAATGTTTAGTTACCATTACATAGAAATTTTTAGGGAAATTAAAAACGGCATATAAAAGCATAACGGACCGAGTCGGAGATCCATTGGATGATGGTGTGCTGTACGGACCATTGCACAATCAGCCAGCGGTCGACGCATATAAAGTATGTGCATCAATTATCTTTTAAACAAAATAAAATGAAAATTGATATCTATTCTCCTTTTAGCATGTATGAAAGAAAAAAAAATCTTTTTTTATTGATTTAATACTTTTCACTGCAGGCAGCAATTCAGAAAGCTGTAGAAGCCGGTGGCACGATAGAATTCGGTGGAAAGCAAATACAGCGACCCGGTTTCTATGTCGAGCCAACGATCATCTCGGGTTTACCGGCCGGAGCTGAGATAGTGCAACAGGAAACTTTCGCTCCAATCGTTTACATTTTGGAAGTAAACTCTCTGGAGGAGGCTATCGATTTTAACAACGGTGTTGAGCAAGGACTGAGCAGTAGTCTCTTTACTAAAAGTATTGGGAATGTATTTCAGGTAAATGTGTAAAACCTAATATATTGTTGGCAAATGCGTTACAATACCAATTAATTTACACAATGTATAATGGAATATATTACTTATCGAATTCCATTCGTCATACAGTGGATTGGCCCTCATGGATCAGATTGTGGAATAGTCAATATCAACATCGGTACTAGCGGTGCCGAGATAGGCGGCGCGTTTGGTGGTGAAAAGGCCACGGGCGGAGGCCGCGAGAGCGGAAGCGATGCGTGGAAACATTACATGCGACGTGCCACCGTCACGATTAATTATGGAAACGAGCTACCTCTGGCTCAGGGCATTAAGTTCGAATAAATTAAACAGGCGTGTTTTTTGAAAAATGAATTAACGCTTTAATTCAAATCGTATAAAATCCACCTGAATATCGACGGACGCTTTTTTATGGAATTTGTAAGCCTTTGGCAAATCGTATCTAAGTTCGGCTATCACTGTTCCTCTTGCGCCGAGCTGTGTCGCCCTCGATAGAACGTAATCTCGTGTACTGCTCTTGTGCAGAGAGTAAATCGCATTGGACGAAAGCCTGATTGCCGCTTCCAGGAACTTCATGTCAGTACCGGCATTATTTTTGGTGCCAAAAGGTGGATTCATTATAACAGTATCAAAGTATTTTTCAAATTTTCCTGTAACATGAAATAACACATATTATGTATTTCTATTGCATTGAAAGTCCGACAACCATATCGGCATGCAATTATAATTTTTGAAATTAAATCATTTAAATGAATTTACAATAGTTCAATATTTTAATGTTCTGACCGTTATGGCGCTTCTTAATTTAAAGCATTATGTATTTTTATATTTGTAATAAATATAATCAATAAGATATTTATATTATGTCATAGTCAAAGTGTTAATTTTAGTAAATGTACACACTTATTCTAGTTTTTTTGTGTAGTCAATGTATACATTTACTAAAGTTAATACTTTGACTATATACAGGGTGTTTCCAAATTAAATCGCAAAACTTCGGGAGCGTGTAGAGGAGTAAAAAACTAAGAAAAAAAGTCCTATAGACATATGCTCGTTTTTGCTCCGTTTCAGAGAAATCGAAAAAAAATGTTTACATTTCTTGCCATATCTAGCACCGACATATTTGATTACATTTTCCACTTTCTGTTATGAATTTGTCAGTCGCTCTTTGAAAGCCTTTAACAGTAGATGAATTTTGTCTTTTGCAATATGCCGCGTACGTATTCTAATAGTGAATATGCTGATATGGTTTTTGTATACGGTTTCTGCAACGGTAATGCTTTAAAGGCGGTGCGAGAATATGCACGACGATTTCCAAACAGAAGAGTGCCAAACCGAAGAGTGTTTATGTTGACATTTAATAGATTGCGAGAGACTGGATCATTTTCAATTCGACAAGAAAACAACCGATTTCAAGCAGCGTTACGAAGAGATTTGCAGGCAGGGAATCGTATTTTACAACATTTTGACAATCATCCTGAGACCAGCGTTCGGAATGCGTCGGCTGTATTGGGAGTGTCACCACAAACAATTTGGCGAACTGTAAAAGGAGATAATCGCTA